GAGGGCCACTAAGATGATCAGAGGGCTGGAGCACGTCTCTATGAAGAAATGCTGAGGTAGTGGGGCTTGTTTAGCTTGGAGAAGACTCCAGGGAGACTTCATCATGGCCTTTCAGTACTTGAAGGGAGCTCATGAGCAGGAGGGGAATCAATTTTTTACATGGTCTGATAAAGAGGGAATGGCTTTAAACTAAAAGAGGAGTGGAAGAAGTTGTCTAGAGAAGTTGTGAATGCTCCATGTCTGGATGCATTCAAGGCCAGATTGGGTGGGAACTTGAGCAGCCTGATCTGGTGGTTGGCAGCCCTGCCCATGGCAGGGGTTGAAACTACATGATCTTTTAGGTCCCTTCTAACCTAAACCATTCTCTTATATATAATCCCCACCTTGCTACAACCTCCTTTCAGGGAGTCGATAGAGAGTAATAAGGCCACCAAGCTCTGCAGCATAAGTTTGCTGCATGACTCACAGAGGTGCATAAGATCAGTAACAGAGTTCAGTCCTCCCACAGCACTTGCGCATACCACGCTGATGCTGTAAACACCCACAGCACCCCTGGCAGCACTCAGGGATTCCTACAATGTCAGAAATTAAATTTTTGGGACGGTCTGGCCCTGCCCTGCTAAGATGTTTGTAAACAAAAGGGTGTTCCTCTGCAAATTCCATGCCCCAGGAGACATTAGGGATGGGGTGGAAGGTCAGTGTCTGGGCAGGTGCACCTAGGAATGGAGAACATACCACAGGATGGCTGTGGAGGTTGGTTTGGCTACAGTGTGCTCCTCTGCTGAGCACTCTCCTCCCTTCCACCCTGACCTGCAGTGCCCATGGGCACATAGTGAGTGAGCAGCAACTACAGTTCTCTCTCAGCTCCAGATCTGGTAGCACCTATCTTATTTTCAGCTTGAAGTGCCAGCTCAGAGACTGTTTTATGCAGAAATGTATCAGTCTGTATCTGCAGAGATATTCACAGAATCACAGAATCACAGAATTGTAGGGGTTGGAAGGGACCTCCAGAGATCATCGAGTCCAACCCCCCTGCCAAAGCAGGTTCCCTATAGCAGATCGCACAGGTAGGCATCCAGGCAGGTCTGGAACATCTCCAGAGAAGGAGACTCCACCACCTCCCTGGGCAGCCTGTTCCAGTGCTCCATCACCCTCACTGTAAAGAAGTTCTTGCGCACATTTGTGCGGAACTTCCTATGCTGCAGTTTCCAGCCGTTTCCCCTTGTCCTGTCTCCACTCACCACTGAAAACAGTCTGGCCTCGCCATTCTGCCCCCCACACCTTAGATATTTATAGACCTGGATCAGGTCCCCTCTCAGTCTCCTTTTCTCAAGGCTGAACAGACCCAGTTCACTCAGCCTTTCCTCATAGGAGAGATGATCCAGGCCCTTCACCATCTTCCTGGCCCTCCACTGGACTCTTTCCAAGAGATCCTTGTCTTTTTTGTACTGGGGAGCCCAGAACTGGACACAGTACTCCAGATGAGGTCTTACCAGGGCAGAGTAGAGGGGGAGGATCACCTCCTTCGACCTGCTGGACACGCTCTTTTTAATGCACCCCAGTAAGCCATTGGCCTTTTTGGCTACAAGGGCACACTGCTGGCTCATGGCCAACCTGTCATCCACCAGGACACCCAGGTCCCTTTCCGCAGGGCTCCCCTCCAGCAGGTCATCCCCCAACCTGTACTGGTGCATGGAATTATTCCTCCCCAGATGCAAGACTCTACACTTGCTTTTGTTAAACCTCATCTGTTTTTTTTCTGCCCAGCTCTCCAGCCTGTCCAGGTCTTGCTGAATGGCAGCACAGCCTTCAGGCGTGTCAGCCAATCCTCCCAACTTCGTATCATCAGCAAACTTGCTGAGGGTGGCCATTATCCCCTCATCAAGGTCACTGATGAAGATGTTGAACAAGACCGGACCCAGCACAGACCCTTGAGGAACACCGCTGGTTACAGGTCTCCAACCGGACTCTGCACCACCAACAACAACCCTCTGTGCTCTGTCAGTCAGCCAGTTCTCAACCCACCATTCACAGGGACTTCACACACCATCCAGTCTCCCCAGCAACACTTGCTGACCATCTGTGTAAGAACGTTCATGCTGTGCAAAAAAGAATACGCTTGAAGATTATTGAGATTATGGCCATTAGGTAACTGCAGTCTAGCAAGCAGCATGTCACCAAATGCTCTACCTATCTTCCTTGCCATAGACAGGATAAAAAAAGACAGAAAGTGGGAGTAGGCAGGGAAAAGCAGAGCAGCCGGATCCTATAGCCCTCTCCTCTCAGCGAAGAGGCTATGGCGTGCTCGCTTCGTGCCGGATGTTGTGCTACAAGAGGCAGTCTGGTCACCTGGTGGCACTCCAGGATCACCGCACCAGACTGACATCCTCTAGGGAGGACAGGGAAGAAAAGCAAAATAAGCACAAATTTACAAACAATCACGTGGGGCTAATGTGAATATGCTTGGAAAGAGCCACTAGTATGCACACACACAGAGCAAAACCGTCCAACATCTGGATGGAGAAATAAAATGCAAAAGTTCAGAAAAAAAAATTGCCCACTTGAGTTCTGCCTGATCTGTTGCCATTTCCAAGAATGACAGGAATAATTCAGGGAGCTCAGTTCATGGAAGGAGCATGCAGAGGAGATGCAGAGGGCAGCAGAGCCTAGTTGAGCATGTGAATTACAGTAATTCTGCATTCTCAAGCCAAAAGTCAACAGGAAAGTTAAATAATATAGGCTGACCATTCTGTTTTGCAAAGCAGCCCTTCATGCTTTGGTACAAACCCACGGTTTTCTTGAATCCTGACCATGCCACAGGAATGCTGTCTGGTAGCTGGCATTGGGCAGATAAAGCTCAGGGCTTTATCCTCAGCTTCTCACAGTCATCTAGAAGCTTCAGGGAGGTACTGAGACCTCTCCTCTGTCCTAAAGGTGAAGGTGGGTTGTGGTAATTACAAGCATAAGTAAACACGCTCATTTTAGATTGCCAAGGAATTCCATCAAGGGTCTTAGTAATAGCTACATGATGGTCTCCAATATCTGATAATTCTAATCTGTATTTTACAGCAGTGGTCTCTGCAGCTCTCAGTGCTCAACAGAATCTCAGATCCAAGCAGCCACGTGTACAGGGCATGTCTGTGACTGCTGACACATTTGGAACCAGACCACTGTACAGTCTGAACATAAATCAGTTGGGTTGAGCCTGAACTCAGCCACACCTAGAAAGAAACCCTGAAGCTGCTGTAGCAGTGAAAAGCATTTAACAGACCTCAAAGTCTGAGAAATTATCAGCTGAAGGGAGGTAATTTAAAGCTGCAAAGAGAGACAGGCTGCCTGAATTTGTGCTAGGATTTACCCATGACACTTGACCTATGTTTCCCTCTCCCACGAAGCAGCCCATGTTTCTTCAGCCAAAATGAATGACTTCCTCTGGTAATACTTCGCTTTGTGCTGCCCTGACCAGATGGCTCTAGAAATGCTCCCAGTGCAATGGAGATGTCTCAGGGCAGCTTGCTGAAGCACTGAGCACCACCAAGTCTGCGTACCTTGAAGATGCAGGCAGACCCAGCACAGGATGTTAATGGCCACAGCCCCAGATTCCCCTGATCCTGGGTGACGTCAGAGAGTGCCAGTTCTGCTGCTGACCCCACACTGTTGAGGCAGAACAGTGGCCCAGGCTCTAGGGAGCTTTCCTTCCCTCTTTCACTCATCCTTTTGTGCAGACTATGTTGTCTTCTCTCTTTCTGCTTCATAGTCTTAGTCTGTGAGGAGGGAATATAGCAAGAACAAAGCTTCATATATTTATTTGAACAAACAAAACAATGAATGCATGAAGATCAGGCTGGAGGGCAAGGGAAAACTGCTGAATTTTAAGGGATTCCAACAGGTGCCAACCTACAATGGAGAAAAATGCCATTGCCTCATAGTTTTGTTGTGAGCAACTGCGAAGAGACTTTGCTTTGTGGGTGCTGGGCAGCACCACAACCCCACCCCAGCTGGGTACTCCCTTTGTCAGGCTGAGAAAGACACATTTCTAAAGTTTACACTACTCCTGCAAAGACACAACATACAACAAAAAGAAAATAACAGATTTTATGCTGAGCATTTAAAGATTACTAATCAATGAGCATTATTCACAGCTTGATAATGTAGCTGCCTTGCAATAATAATGCAAGTTATAGCTGCAGGGGAGCCCTAAAACCTGGCAGACGTTGGCATCACCTGAACAGTGGCTCCTCTCTGCACACTGAACTGCCATCTCTGAGGCGCGTGTCTATCTGCAGTTATGACATTGCTACAGTGTGGTAAAAGGAATGTTAATGGTGAAATAGTTTAGAACCCCAAAAATGGGAGGTTGAACAGAGCCCTTAAATGAAGCTACATTCCAATAAATGAAAGTCTGGGAACAAAACCAAAAGGGCCATGAGGCCCATGGCAAGAAGCTTTGGACCCTTTTTTATCCTCTCTTAAGGATAAAATGCTTGGAGTCTTTAAATCAGAAATTTGGGCTGTAGGAGAAGGCTTTGTACACTGACATGAGGCTTTGGGCTCCTCACACTGGGGTGTGAGGCTTCAAAATAAAGACTCCTTTCCACATTACAGAGGCATTGAGCCTCACCTCAGGGTGCAAATTTTCTCTGTAGTCTTTTTTTGGTTTTTCCTTTCAAGGCTCAGAGCCTTGGCTTGAGGGCCCAGAGCCTTATTTCAGATCAGAAACATCCTTTTCAGTTCCAAACCCAAGTACCAGAGCTTGAAACCTCTTTCCCATGTCCAAAGCCCCATCTGAGAGCAAAACCCAATCTGGGAGACTCAGAGCTGGATTTGAAGGCTTCAGAGCACCACCAGCCTACTGCTGGCAGGGAACTTCGGAAACAGAAAGGACCATGTTCCTAGGTAAGCCCTGCTGTGCAAGGGTTAGCAGAACAACAGCCAAACAACTGCAGGACTGCTGAGGCAGGACTGAGGGCTGACGGACACTCACCTTTGACCCAGGGAGAGCCAGGACAAAGCTGATGACTGCTTGACCTTTGGTGTGCTGTATGGGAACTGCGGAGTCATGTCCTGAACCTCTGATTGATCACCTGAGGCGAGCCATGAGTCAGCCAGAGGAGCACAGGTGAAGGCAATTCACCTGTGCTGCCGGAAGCCAGGCTGCACCCATCCTAGACCTATTGAAGAGCTGGCTACCAGTAGGGAAGGATCTCTTCTGGAGATTGCATCTTCTGGTGTTTTGTAGGTGAGCCCAGCATAAGGGTAAGCTTTCCGTTTGTTCTCTTTTGTTATCATTGTCCACTTTGCCTACCTCTCTTGATTATATTGTGATTGTAACATCTTGATAACCATTGATTATACAGTATGCCCAGCAAATGCTGGACTGCAGAGAGCATCCAGCAGAGGTCTGAGCTCTGGGAAAGCCTCAGGCTAGCTGGTGAGAAGACATGCCTTCTGCTCAGAGTAGGGTACATCCATGCCTGCGTGTGGCCCAGAGCCCAGAATGTTCTCCTGGCAGGGAGGAGAGTTATTGTGAAATAAGCCCGGGCAGGAGAGGAGGTGATGATGGCCGGAAACATTTTGCATCTTCATTTCTCATTCAGAGCACTGCTCAGGTGAAAACACCAGCAGAGCTGACAGTTTCAAAATGCTTTAGTCTGTGTTGAAGTTTCAAAGCAAACCACAGACCTTTTACAATGCACACTTCTCTTTATGGTTTTCCCTCAACCTGGTGGCAACTAACTCTTCTCTTGTTTTAGTTCCTCTTCTCCCATAACACCGACTTGAAAAGCAATGATGCCTGCCTATGCTAAGATAGCCGGTGAATAACTGGGCTGAAGCGGGGAGCAATGGCTGTCTATATCCATTCAATGCCTCAAATAGCTGCTGCTGCCCTGCTGCCCCCTGCTACAGCAGCAGGCAGTGACACGTGGCAGCCCCTGGCACCCTGCCTGCTGATGCCACCCATCACCTGCATCGCACCTGCCTCTCTGGCATTTCCGTGCCCACCACCACCGCTACTCATTGTGGTTTCATCCTGGTGGTGCTCACCCGTGCCAGCCTCTGGGATGCCCTGCCTGACCTTTCCACCCCTGGCTGGCAGTGCCCATGCTAGCAGTGCCTGTGGTGGCTGCAGCCCCTGCTCTGGCCGAGGAAGGGCTGGGAATCCTGCTGCCTCCTGCTTTGGTGTGCATATAGTGCTTGCCTTGTTATGAAAATTACCTCTGCCACATTGACTCATGTTCTTGGCGTAGCACCAGCCTGAGCCCTTGGTTCTCTTTTAGGGCTTACCTGTTAGTGCTAGTATCTGCATCCTATGTATGGAATGGATGGGGCAAACAAATTTTCTTCTCTGCTTTAGAGGCATATGTCCCTGCTCAACTCTTCTATAATGGAAAGGTGGATTATTTTGACCTTCAGTGACTCAGAGGTCTTCTGTCTCATCTCAAGAAGATTCTGAAAGGTAAGCGCTCTCACTTTCAGCAGCTTTACCACAGGTCCTGACTGAAGTTCAACCAAGAGACGTCTCAGCGAGGGAGCTGTGGGTAATGAAATGTGATTAAATGTAAGGAGAGGAGACTTGAATTTTAATGAGATGAAAATTATTCTAGAGAAGGCAGCATCCCTCTGGGGTGGAGTATCCTTTAAGTTAACAGCTTACTCTTTATATCCCCAACTGGGATACTAATTTATCTTCTGCTAATTGCAGGCTCTGTCCTGAGTGTTTAGTTAGAAACTTTTTTTTCTGAACTCCTGTTCTGATTTTTCTTGCTTTTATTCTCTGCTCCAAGCTCATTATGGTGTGTGGTGGGGACAGTGGAGATGTGCTGAGCAGAGTCAGCTCTCAGTCCCTTTTTTTCTAAGAACTCTGACAGACATCACCAATGGCCTCAAGCATCACTCAATTTCCAGAGTGCACAAAAGCAGCAATCTGTACAAAGAAAAAAAAAAAAGAAACCTTAAGATCATTTCTTTCTAGACTCCAATCTCAAACTGCTCTTTCTTAAAAGCAACTCATATGTACCCTTGTATGCTTTCTTCAATCTCATTTACAGTGCAGTAGTAAAAGCCACCAGACTTTCTTTGATCTTTGTTCTGTTCTTCCCCTGTTGCTCAGGGGTTGCAGAGAAGGTGGAGAGGGAGGAGACAGAAAGATGTTAGTAAAAGCAGTTACCTCACTGAGTGATTATCTCTTTTAGTTTCTTTGGCTACGGAATCTCCCAAATTTGCACAAGCTTCTAGGCCCCACAGTCAAAATTACTTAAAATAAAACACCACCAACAGAAATGGGGAGGACTCTCAAAATAGGCTTTTAACTATAGGCTAATAGGCTTTCTGCTATACAGAATCAGAAACAGCAGGCGAGGGACTGTGATTCTCCTCCATCTCCAATCTGTTGCTAATCATTTATCTATTCAGAGATGATTTCACGTTTTGGCTCTTTCACAAGGTTTTACCGTTACAGGGTCTGGACTCTAAGCCTCAGTCTCTGATTCAGAGTCTAAAAACTGGGCCGAGCACTTGGGTCTCAGTCTGGCCCTTGTGTCTGGCTCCCCAACCATGGGTTCTGGGCGTAGTTTCCAGGGCCAGTCCTCATTTCCCAGCCTGACTGCCTGCTCCCCATCCCCGGGCTCCATTCCTGGGCCCTATAACCGGTTTCCGGCTTTCAGCCCCTGAGCCTCTGTCCCGAATCCTAGTCTTTGGGGCTGGTGTCAGATCTTGGGCCCTGATCCCTGGGCCTGGTCCTGAGCCCTAGGCCTAGCCGTGGTTCCCGGTCCTCATTCTCGTTCCCCAGCTCTGGATCTGGCGATCTGGGTCTCCGTCTCCAAACCGAGTCGCTCGCCCAGAGCCGCCCCAACCCCCTCCGCTACCAGCCGCGCGTAGCACCCGGAAGTGAAAGCAAGCATCCCCACCGCCGCTGCCCAGAAGAAGCCGGAAAGCCCACGCTCTCGCGAGATCGTCCCACCCAATCAGCTGCCGCAAGGTTTATCTCCTTCCCGTATCCCTTCACTCCCAGCGCCACGCCGCGTCGCGGCCGCAAGAACCAAAGACCAATTGGTTCTGGTCGCCCGGGTTATGACGTCACCACGCAGGAAGCGCCGCGAGAGAGGAGCGGAGTTGCGGGAGGAGCGCTTTATTTGGCCGCCAAAGAGGGGCTGGCGGAAGTTTTACGGCGAGCAGTCGCCTACGCAGCTGTACCTCGTAACTTGGCCAGCTTTAGCACCCTGGCGAGGTCCCAGGCGGCGTGCACGGCGTTGACGTCCTTGGTCACCAGCTCCTGCTTGTTGTTGTTGTTGATCTCCCGCTGCAGCGCCGCCAGCTCGTTGAAGCCGCTCTGCAGCAGCTCGCTGTGCTCCTGTAGCTTCACTTCCAGCGCCCTGTCCAGCTCCCTCTGCGCGCTTGCAGCCTCCGCCTGCATCTTGGCCTCCAGGGCTTGCAGGTTCTGCACGTAGCTGCAGACGCCTCCGCCAGCAACGCCTCCAGCTGCCGTTCGCGTTCCAGTAGCTGTGCCTGCTGCTTCTGGTCTGGGGACAAGGGGACGGGGAGAGGGGTAACCAGGAGCTGAGCCTTCTGCTTCTGGTTAAAGAACGGAGTTTGGGGTCCCCGGGGTACGGAGGGATGGGGGAAAGAGACAGTGCAGAGGGATAGGGAAGGAATGGAGGGGCGTGAGGACAGAGTGCAGGGATGTGGAGATGGGGTGAGAATTCCTCAGGGAGAAAAAAGGGACAATTTGAGGTGTCTCCTGGGCACGCTGGGACACCCCAAGGGATGTGGATACTCTGTGAGATGTCCCCTGAGGATAAAGGGACTCCTCAAGAGATGGGATCATCATGTCCCTGAAGGCATAGGATGCTCAAAATATGTGGGGATACCATGAGCTGTCCCCAGCAGACACAGCCCATGGAATATGGGAATACTGCCAGATGTCCTCCAGGAATAACAGAAGGTATCTCTTGTCCCTGGAGGACCTGGGGATGGGTGATGGAGGAAGGAGAGAGGGGATGGCACCGGGACGCACTGCTCACCCCCCAGCTGCTTCTCAGCCTCGCTCAGTGCATTGTCTGCCTTCAGCGCTGCCTCCACCTCTGCCCAGCACTCTGCCAAGAACTCATCCAGCACCTCCTCGGCCTGTGCATCCCCACACGATTGAGGCACAGCCCCTGGCTCCTTGTCCTTAATTCCCTACCTAGAGCTGCCCTTACGTTGGGGTTGTTGCCCTCTGCTTGCCAGTAGGCCTCCAGCACCTGCTGCCACTCAGCCTCATAGGTACGGTAGGCACCAGGCAGTGCGTAGGCCCCACGGGACAGGCTGGTATCCAGTGCCCGTGCCAGCTCAGCCAGCAGCGCCTTGCAGTGCCACTGTGATGCTGCATCATTCTTCTCCTGCAGGCAGCTATACTCTGTGCTGATCTGTTCCTGAAGGTCGGGATGGGGGCAAGGTCATGGTGTTGATGGGGAGAGTGCTGGTGGGACCACCGGTGCAGAGTATTGGGGGGAAATGAGGATAAGGTCACGGGGATGGAGAGAACTGGGGGATTGGGGACAAGGTCATGAAGACAAGGGCAGCCTTATAGGGGTGGGGACTGGACTGTGTGGACAGGTTAGTGGAGGCAGGGTACCAGGGGATAGGAAGTGCTGTGACAGTGGTGACAAAGTCATGGGAACAGGGACAGCCTTGTAGTGATAGGAACAAGGCCGTGAGGACAGGGACAGCGCTGTGGCAGAAAGGGGGAGGGGGGGGGCACGCACCATGAGGTGCCGCTGGTGCTCCTGGTTGTGATCCCAGAAGCTGCGATGCTGGAAGACGAGTGCCTCACGCAGGTGCTGCCCATGCGAGGCTGAGAGCTATGCAGGCTCTGTGGGCAGTGACAGCCTCTGCATGCCCTTGGCATAGGCCTCAAGCACTGCTGCCACCACAGCTGCGTTCTCGTTGGCCATCGTCGCTGCTGCTGCTCCCTGCAGGCAGGGGAGATGCCCATTTTTTATGGCTTCCATGTAGCCGTGCAGCAGCATGCTCAGGGCTGTGGGGAATGACACAGTGACACCTCCCTCACTGTTGGTACCTTGCTGCGGTGTGTTGCTGTTGTTCCCTGTCATCCCTGTGGTTTTTGTCCCGTTGTCAACCTGTCATCACCCCATCATTGCCTTGTGTTGCACCATTGCTGTTGTCACTCTACTGTCACCCTGTTATTCCTGATGTCATCATTGCCCCGTGTCACCATTATCATCCTGCTGTTACCATGTTTCTGTTTCACTGTTGTCATGCTGCTGTACTGTGTTGCCATTGTATCCCTTCTATCCCATTGTCATCACTCTGCTATCCCAGTGTTATCTCTCCATTGTCTCATGTTGCCATTGTCACTGGCCCCCTGTTGTCCTGTGTCATCACTGTCACCCCATTTTCACCCTGTTGTCCCATGGCACTCTTGCCTTTATCCCATTTGTCCCGTATTGCCTTTGCCTTTGTCACCCCATCATCCAATTTGCCATCATCATTGTCTTCCCATGGTCCTACTGTTGTCCCTTATGATGACATCACTATTATCAGCCTGCAGTCAGTACATTCTCATGCTGTTCTCTTGTGTTGCCATTACAATTGTCTCCTTGTTGTCCTGTGTCAGAAACCTGGTTGCAGCTCCTCCCACACTGCCAGCCCCGTGTTGGCTGCCGACTGCTCCAGCATGAGCTGCTTGAGGTGGGGGAAGAAGTTGTACAGACAGCCCAGCAGCTCGTTGCTCTTCACTGTAACGTGTTCTCGGCACTGCCACCATCACCACACTGCCACTGCCCACAGGGACACAGTGACGTGCAGGGACAAGTGATGATGTCTGTACCAGGTCACTGGCATTGCATCTCCTGTGCCTCTCGCGTAGAGATGCGTAGGCGTTGTTGTCCTCCCATGTTGCACTTCTGCCAGAGAAAGGATGGAATGTGATGAGCACCCGCTGCTCCAGGACTAAAACTAATCCAAGTAATCCCTCACCCTCCACCCCAGGCCTGCTGGGACAGTCCCTTACAAAGGACAGCTCATGTGCCCTCACATCTCAAGAGCTGGCTGAAAGACACCAACCTGAGTGGGATTCGGATCCCCATAAAGAACATGTCTGGAATAAACTTGACCTCGTCTCTGCACAGGGGGCTCTGGAAGCGATAAAACCCTGCGCGCAGAGCCTGTTACTGCAGCAGAGGCACAAGCAGTGTGATTGTGAGCTGGGCCTGATGCTGCTGAGCACCTGTGGTGCTTGCAGGGTGAGGAGAGGGCTCCTACCTGGATGCAGGCCCGGTGAAACCAGGCTTGTTTGCAGGCCGGGCACAGCATGGTGCTGTATGACCTGCTGTCATCCATGGGCTCCATGCAGACAATGCAGGTTGTGTCCTGCACAGGTGCTGCCTCCACTGCCTGATGTGGGTGGTGCTCCCAGCAGAAGGACCAGGGGGAACAACTACCTCGGGAAAGGCAGAGAGGAACAAAACTGACAGTGACGTGATGGAACTCTCAGTTTTATTGTGATGGACTATGATGACTTTGGATACAATTGGAGCTTGCACATGGCTGCTCCTGCGACATCATTGGGGCTGGCTGTTGATGCTCGGGGCCCAGCATGGTACCCGGGAGCGGCTTCATACCCGGGCTGGTACCCGGGAGCAGCTTCGCCCCTGGCCTGGTCCTCGCCGCCTGGAGCGGCTCCTGCGGCATCTTAGGGGCTGGCTGCGGGTCTCTGCAGCCCGATGTTCAAGAGGGGAGCGGCTTCGAGTCGGGGCCCGCCCTGGCTGTCTGGACCGGCTTCCATCCACTGCTGTGGAAGCCCTTGAGGACCGCGGTGCTCCCCGTCTTGTGCATCTGAGAGGAGAGGAGAGGAGAGGAGAGGAGAGGAGAGGAGAGGAGAGGAGAGGAGAGGAGAGGAGAGGAGAGGAGAGGAGAGGAGAGGAGAGGAGAGGAGAGGAGAGGAGAGGAGAGGAGAGGCTGCACATGAAGAGTGTCTGCCTGCCATTTTGGATTGGCGCGTCGGTGTCTTCCTCCTTCCATGAAGGAGCCTGCACAGTGCACTGGGTGCAGCGTGCTACATGGCACTGCCTTCTGCTGCCTGCCTGCCTGCCCGCCTGCCTGCTGCACTGCTGGAGAGGAAAGAGCGGGTTGTGGGGCTGCGTGCAGGCAAGGAGCTGGCTGCAAAGGAGGGAAACGGAGTATTTAGGAGCGGTTAGTGCGTGTTAGGTTTGGGTGTGGATGCAGCGGGGGCTGAGTCACCTCCATCAGCTCCTGGGGGCTGGGGCCGAGCCCGGTGCGTGGGGCTGCGGGGCTGGGGCAGTGGTGTGGGTGCAGCACATGGGGCCGTGAGAGGGCGTGCAGCAGGGAGGGCGTTGGGCCCGAGCCGCGCTCGTGTTTGTCGCAGCACAGGGGCTGCAGGGGATGCCAGGAGTGCAGAGCAGAGCGGGGAGAGGCGGGCTGTATGAAGGCCAGGGCATGAAGTCTTCCCTTGGCAGCTCCGGAGCTGCTGGGCTTTTCCCCCAAGTCTTCAGACTGTGGGGTGATAAGGCTCCGCAGCAAAGGCAGCCGGGCCCTCCTGATACTTGGGGGTTAGGAAAGGGCAAAACAAATCAGAGTCTTTCAAGAGCACAAAGCAGTGAAGCACAGCACAAGCCATTTACTGTCTGCGTAGGTGATCTTCTCCAGGCATGTCCATTGGAGATGTGCAGACTGAGTGTGGACAGAAAGCAAATGGAAGGCAGGGCAGGGGAGGGGAGGGGAGGGGAAGAAAGTAAGAAATGAAAGGAAAGAAAAAGGGAAATGTGGAGGGGAAGAGAGAAGGAGAAAAGGAAAGGAAGAGAAAAGAGAAGCAAGGCAAAGGAAAGCAAAAGGGGGAAAAGGGAAAAGGCAGAAAAGGAGAAGAAGCCAAGTTGCATGCCGCCGGCGCCACCCGAGGGGAATCCGGCAGCGGGCCCCCCAGCTGCCCCTCCCCCTCCTCCAGGCCCCGGGCCGCCCTCAGCAACGTGACGCCGCAGGCGGTTGGTAGGGCCGGGGCAGGAAGTGGTTCCTGGCGGCGGAGAGCACTTCCGGGGCAGCGCGGCATGGCGGCGCCGGGCCGGTGAGCGGGGCCGGGAGGAGCGGGCTGTGTGCTGGGAACGGGGTCGGGGCTCGGTGCGGGGGCATGGAGGGGCGCTCGGGGGAGGAGCTGGCGGTGCTGCCGGCACGCAGAGGCGATGCGTGCGGCGCCGCCGAGTGCTGCGGGGTCGGGGGGCAGCTTCCTCTCAGGGAAGGCCGTGCGTGTGCGGAGCTTTGTTGGTGTTTCGGGTGTGCGAAGGAGGAGGCCCCGTAGGGCCGAGTTGTAGCCAGCAAAGCCCGGGCGGGCAGTGGAGCAAGGCGCGTGGGTGCTGTGTTGGCCGGAGGGTGCGGAGCTGGAAGAAGGTTTGTGAAGATGTGCTTCCTGTGGACGTCCCTTGTCAGGACGAGCCAGGGCTGCAGTTGTGTGTGACTGTGCTTGTTGCTCGGGAGAACTGCTGCCTTAGTAGGCTGGGGGGGAGGGAGAGGGAGATTTTAAGACTGCCATCAGTCAGGAGCACGGCACGTTTCTGCCTGCTTTGCTCATGCTGTTGTGTGGGTCCCCGCGAAGCATCGGTGAGCCAGGGTGGCCCCGTGTGTGTGGCAGCATTGTGCGCGGATGTGGAAAGGAGTCAGAGTGATTGTAATGAAAATGCAGCTGGCCGTATTGATGGTAGGGAATGGTTGAATCCCCAGCCGTGAGGCGCAAGAAGAGGCGGTGGATGCTAACGTGGAAAGCGGAGCTTGTGTGTGCCAGGAGGCAGGCGTGGCGAGGTGTGCTTTGGAGCCTGCTGTTGTTGGCGCTGGGCTGGGGAGGCCCCTGAACATGGCGCCGTGTGCTGCGTGTCCCAGCCCCAACAGATTCCCGTGTGGAAGAAGGGAGAGGATGAAGGAGGCCGAGGGCCCTTTTCTCGGGGCCGGCTCCTCTGTGGCCTCTTGCTTGCCGGAGAGAAGGGCTGCCCGCTGGGCACAGGGAGTGCCTTCTAGCTGCCGTCCCGTGCCCTGTCCTCCAGCCCCCTCCTCATGCTATGTGGAACGCCATTGCCAGCAGTGCGGCTGCCATTTTAGAACCTTCGCCGCATCACAGCCGTCACCTTGGTCACCGCTGTCCGGGCCAACGCACTCGCTCTGAGAGCTCTGGCAGCCATGCCAGGAGCGAAGAGAGCGAGGGGCGAAGTTTGCCCTATTTTAAATGGGAAGAGGGAGCTTGGCTTCCCAGAAGCGAAGAGGAGGAGGGGGGCCGCCTTTAAGATCAAGCGGAGGAGGGGGCAGAGAGTGCGTTTGCATCGCGCCTGGGCCAGCGCTGTGACCACCTCCGTGGAGCCCATGGAGGTGGATCCACCTCCGGATGAGCCCATGGAGGTGGATCCACCTCCCGATGAGCCCATGGAGGTGGATCCGCCTGCGGCACAGCTGGCCTGGCACCACACCACCGTGCCAGGCCCCGCATCGGCGCCGTCACAGCTCCACCGCCGCTGGTCCAGGCGCTCGGCTCCCTACCCGCTGCGCGGCCCCCGCCCCCAGCATTAGCTGGGTGGCATTAGTTTCCATCAGCTCCTCCTCCGAGCCTCCTGTGGAGCCAAGTTCTCCTCTTCCCATTTAAATGCTGCAGGTGTTATAGTTTAGTTGTTGTTTTTGTTGTTGATTTTAGTGTTTAGTGTTAGTGTTAGGAGTAGATTATTGTTCATATTTTAGAGTTAGGCGTAGGTTACTTGTAGTCTTTTAGTGTTAGGCATAGGTTCCTGTTCTTATGTTAGAGTTAGGTGTAGGTTACTTGTAGTCTGTTAGTGTTAGGCATAGGTTCCTGTTCTTATGTTAGAGTTAGGTGTAGGTTACTTGTAGTCTTTTAGTGTTAGGCATAGGTTCCTGTTCATACTTGACAGTTAGGGGTAGCTTGCTCCTGTCAAGTGGAAGTGAGCATCGCTCACTCGGTAAGCACACGCCTGATTGATCGTCCGAAGACATGAGTGCGAGTGCCGTGAGCACGGAGGCCCGATGGCATCTTGGATGGCTTGAATTTCCAGCTTGTGACTTTTGTGTTGCAGACCGTCGAGGAGCAGAGTGTGAGTGGCTGCGCCATTGCGTTGGGCCTCAGGAGAACAGTGTGTGACTGTGTCTCGAGCATCCTGCGTGGCCGTTGCCAGGTAGGCGTGCCTTCCTTTGCAGTAAGCAGTGCTTAGGCGTGAGCCCAGCTCATCCCCCTGTGCTCAGCAGATGGGCTTTCTGCGTGCTTTATTTCTGTGCTTGGTGCCGTCCGGCACAGCAGCAGCAAGGCCGTGAACACGTACGTACCCAGGTAGATGCAAATGTGCAACTGATGGGATTAATGCTATTGTTGTTAGTGTTCATGAGACAGTGGTCGTGCATGTGCGATCAACCTCAGGGAGAAGTTGATTGTTGCCTGTTCAGCTCTGGCTGAAATGCAAGTTTGGCGTCCCTCCTTGTGGTTGGGTCGGAAGACCAAGGATATCTTGAGAGCACGTCTGTGAGTCAGGCTGGGAGTTTTTGCTAGCAGGAAGTCACAGCGTCGGAGCGCACGATAGGAATGATGGCTCTCGTTTCCCCCTTGTAGAAAGCAGCCTCCTGGAGAGCAGCAGAGCAGCAGGCTGTCTGCGCTATGGCCGCTGAAGTGCATTTCTCGGCCCCTGAGATCCCTGAGCCCACGCTGATGGAGAACGTGCTGCGCTGCGGCCTCTTCTTTGGAGCCGTTTTCCAGCTTCTGTGCGTGTTGGCCATAATGCTGCCAGTTTCCAAGTGCCCAGAGACAGTAAGTAGCGCTCTGTTTGATAGAGGTTGATAGAAATGCTGAGGAAATGGGCTGGGAGGGAAGCAGCTGGAGCCGTTGCCTACGGTAGCGCGCCGCGGCATTGCTGAGAATGTGGCAGTTTGTTCTGCCCTTCCTTGGGCGTGCGTGCTGTTCCTGGTGGCACGCAGGGAGCCTGGAGGTGCAAGCTCATCTTATCGTCCTGCTGCTGCTGCTTCTGTGGGCTGTGAGTGGCAGGCAGGGCGTCCCCCTGTGCAGGGACTGCCTTGCAGGAAAGGCCTGTAGACTGTAGGTTACGTGGGTTTTTTGGGAACAAGAGAGAGGTGGAGTTTCTGTTGTGCCCTGATGTCAGGAAGGCAATTTGCAGCACTGGCACCCAAAGCTGCCCAGTCAGGTGACTTGAGCTGCCAAAGCGAGCTGTCGGGCAATTGTCAGAAAGTTCCCTGACTGTTTGTGAATTGATTCCTGCAGGACTCGGACGGCTTGGAGTCTAAGACTTGGGAGACGGCGAAGAAACCAAAGGCAAGTGCTGCACAGCTAAGCAAGAAAGCCAAGAAGGAAAGCAAAAAGAAACGGTGAGGGCTTGAGCGATAAGCCTCAAAGGCCAAAGGAAGCAGCGGGAATGCTTGCTGAGAGGTGCTCCAAAGGCAGCGCACTGTACGTCTGGTTTTGTGGCGTGGCCGTGCTTTCCCTTGCACGGACATTGGAGAGGAACTGAGGAAGCTGGAGGGGCTTCTGATGCGTGACAAACAAATCGGACTTTGCCTGTGCGGGATTTCATGTCTGGCAAGAGCTGGGGACGCTGCGTTCCTTCAGGGTCCTTCAGCTCGATAGCTGTTTCAGAATGTTGATGATGAGGTGAACATAGCGCATGTCGCTGGTCATGAGCGGTATCCAGGCTATTTTATTTTCTGTTGACGTATCTACAAAACGCAACCCAAATCCCTTAGTTTCAAATAAAAGGGAAACAAACCTTTGACACCTGGTGCTGCCTCTTTCAGTAGCTGGTCCAAACATGCCTGGCTTGGGCTGGCAGCGGCAGGGCGCTGAACCGGCCGGCTTCACGTCCCTCCCTGGAGATGGAGCTGCTTTTCCCGCGTTTGCATGTTGGTCTTCCCAAGCGGTGGCCTTTCAGCCAAAGCGTAACTGCCAGCGAAGCCTGTGAGCATCACCTTGCTCTGTGAGGACTGCGAGAAAGAAAAGGAGGGGAGGCAGCGCACGAGGAAGAAAGGTGTCCCTGCACTCAGCCCCTTGAGCTCGTCACTCAAGCTTCCCTGGTGGCTTTTTCAGCCTTCTGTAGCACTGACTGTTCCTGCTTGGCCTGGGAAGGCCAGCTGCACCTGCGGGCAGCCGAGGGCTGCACGTCAGGCTCCCGTTGAGCCGCGAGGAGTTCAAGTGCGGGTGGGCTGGTGTGAAGAGCAGCGCTGGGAGTGGGGCAGGAGGAGAGGGCAGCGGGAGGGCTGCAGGTGAGCGCGCCTGGGGCCCAGAGCTCAGGCGTGAGCCGGGAGGGCAGCGAGCCGTGCTGCGCTGCTTCAGCTGCAATGGCTTTGAGGGAGAGGAGAGGAGAGGAGAGGAGAGGAGAGGAGAGGAGAGGAGAGGAGAGGAGAGGAGAGGAGAGGAGAGGAGAGGAGAGGAGAGGAGAGGAGAGGAGAGGAGAGGAGAGGAGAGGAGAGGAGAGGAGAGGAGAGGAGAGGAGAGGAGAGGAGAGGAGAGGAGAGGAGAGGAGAGGAGAGGAGAGGAGAGGAGAGGAGAGGAGAGGAGAGGCTGCACATGAAGAGTGTCTGCCTGCCATTTTGGATTGGCGCGTCGGTGTCTTCCTCCTTCCATGAAGGAGCCTGCACAGTGCACTGGGTGCAGCGTGCTACATGGCACTGCCTTCTGCTGCCTGCCTGCCTGCCCGCCTGCCTGCTGCACTGCTGGAGAGGAAAGAGCGGGTTGTGGGGCTGCGTGCAGGCAAGGAGCTGGCTGCAAAGGAGGGAAACGGAGTATTTAGGAGCGGTTAGTGCGTGTTAGGTTTGGGTGTGGATGCAGCGGGGGCTGAGTCACCTCCATCAGCTCCTGGGGGCTGGGGCCGAGCCCGGTGCGTGGGGCTGCGGGGCTGGGGCAGTGGTGTGGGTGCAGCACATGGGGCCGTGAGAGGGCGTGCAGCAGGGAGGGCGTTGGGCCCGAGCCGCGCTCGTGTTTGTCGCAGCACAGGGGCTGCAGGGGATGCCAGGAGTGCAGAGCAGAGCGGGGAGAGGCGGGCTGTATGAAGGCCAGGGCATGAAGTCTTCCCTTGGCAGCTCCGGAGCTGCTGGGCTTTTCCCCCAAGTCTTCAGACTGTGGGGTGATAAGGCTCCGCAGCAAAGGCAGCCGGGCCCTCCTGATACTTGGGGGTTAGGAAAGGGCAAAACAAATCAGAGTCTTTCAAGAGCACAAAGCAGTGAAGCACAGCACAAGCCATTTACTGTCTGCGTAGGTGATCTTCTCCAGGCATGTCCATTGGAGATGTGCAGACTGAGTGTGGACAGAAAGCAAATGGAAGGCAGGGCAGGGGAGGGGAGGGGAGGGGAAGAAAGTAAGAAATGAAAGGAAAGAAAAAGGGAAATGTGGAGGGGAAGAGAGAAGGAGAAAAGGAAAGGAAGAGAAAAGAGAAGCAAGGCAAAGGAAAGCAAAAGGGGGAAAAGGGAAAAGGCAGAAAAGGAGAAGAAGCCAAGTTGCATGCCGCCGGCGCCACCCGAGGGGAATCCGGCAGCGGGCCCCCCAGCTGCCCCTCCCCCTCCTCCAGGCCCCGGGCCGCCCTCAGCAACGTGACGCCGCAGGCGGTTGGTAGGGCCGGGGCAGGAAGTGGTTCCTGGCGGCGGAGAGCACTTCCGGGGCAGCGCGGCATGGCGGCGCCGGGCCGGTGAGCGGGGCCGGGAGGAGCGGGCTGTGTGCTGGGAACGGGGTCGGGGCTCGGTGCGGGGGCATGGAGGGGCGCTCGGGGGAGGAGCTGGCGGTGCTGCCGGCACGCAGAGGCGATGCGTGCGGCGCCGCCGAGTGCTGCGGGGTCGGGGGGCAGCTTCCTCTCAGGGAAGGCCGTGCGTGTGCGGAGCTTTGTTGGTGTTTCGGGTGTGCGAAGGAGGAGGCCCCGTAGGGCCGAGTTGTAGCCAGCAAAGCCCGGGCGGGCAGTGGAGCAAGGCGCGTGGGTGCTGTGTTGGCCGGAGGGTGCGGAGCTGGAAGAAGGTTTGTGAAGATGTGCTTCCTGTGGACGTCCCTTGTCAGGACGAGCCAGGGCTGCAGTTGTGTGTGACTGTGCTTGTTGCTCGGGAGAACTGCTGCCTTAGTAGGCTGGGGGGGAGGGAGAGGGAGATTTTAAGACTGCCATCAGTCAGGAGCACGGCACGTTTCTGCCTGCTTTGCTCATGCTGTTGTGTGGGTCCCCGCGAAGCATCGGTGAGCCAGGGTGGCCCCGTGTGTGTGGCAGCATTGTGCGCGGATGTGGAAAGGAGTCAGAGTGATTGTAATGAAAATGCAGCTGGCCGTATTGATGGTAGGGAATGGTTGAATCCCCAGCCGTGAGGCGCAAGAAGAGGCGGTGGATGCTAACGTGGAAAGCGGAGCTTGTGTGTGCCAGGAGGCAGGCGTGGCGAGGTGTGCTTTGGAGCCTGCTGTTGTTGGCGCTGGGCTGGGGAGGCCCCTGAACATGGCGCCGTGTGCTGCGTGTCCCAGCCCCAACAGATTCCCGTGTGGAAGAAGGGAGAGGATGAAGGAGGCCGAGGGCCCTTTTCTCGGGGCCGGCTCCTCTGTGGCCTCTTGCTTGCCGGAGAGAAGGGCTGCCCGCTGGGCACAGGGAGTGCCTTCTAGCTGCCGTCCCGTGCCCTGTCCTCCAGCCCCCTCCTCATGCTATGTGGAACGCCATTGCCAGCAGTGCGGCTGCCATTTTAGAACCTTCGCCGCATCACAGCCGTCACCTTGGTCACCGCTGTCCGGGCCAACGCACTCGCTCTGAGAGCTCTGGCAGCCATGCCAGGAGCGAAGAGAGCGAGGGGCGAAGTTTGCCCTATTTTAAATGGGAAGAGGGAGCTTGGCTTCCCAGAAGCGAAGAGGAGGAGGGGGGCCGCCTTTAAGATCAAGCGGAGGAGGGGGCAGAGAGTGCGTTTGCATCGCGCCTGGGCCAGCGCTGTGACCACCTCCGTGGAGCCCATGGAGGTGGATCCACCTCCGGATGAGCCCATGGAGGTGGATCCACCTCCCGATGAGCCCATGGAGGTGGATCCGCCTGCGGCACAGCTGGCCTGGCACCACACCACCGTGCCAGGCCCCGCATCGGCGCCGTCACAGCTCCACCGCCGCTGGTCCAGGCGCTCGGCTCCCTACCCGCTGCGCGGCCCCCGCCCCCAGCATTAGCTGGGTGGCATTAGTTTCCATCAGCTCCTCCTCCGAGCCTCCTGTGGAGCCAAGTTCTCCTCTTCCCATTTAAATGCTGCAGGTGTTATAGTTTAGTTGTTGTTTTTGTTGTTGATTTTAGTGTTTAGTGTTAGTGTTAGGAGTAGATTATTGTTCATATTTTAGAGTTAGGCGTAGGTTACTTGTAGTCTTTTAGTGTTAGGCATAGGTTCCTGTTCTTATGTTAGAGTTAGGTGTAGGTTACTTGTAGTCTGTTAGTGTTAGGCATAGGTTCCTGTTCTTATGTTAGAGTTAGGTGTAGGTTACTTGTAGTCTTTTAGTGTTAGGCATAGGTTCCTGTTCATACTTGACAGTTAGGGGTAGCTTGCTCCTGTCAAGTGGAAGTGAGCATCGCTCACTCGGTAAGCACACGCCTGATTGATCGTCCGAAGACATGAGTGCGAGTGCCGTGAGCACGGAGGCCCGATGGCATCTTGGATGGCTTGAATTTCCAGCTTGTGACTTTTGTGTTGCAGACCGTCGAGGAGCAGAGTGTGAGTGGCTGCGCCATTGCGTTGGGCCTCAGGAGAACAGTGTGTGACTGTGTCTCGAGCATCCTGCGTGGCCGTTGCCAGGTAGGCGTGCCTTCCTTTGCAGTAAGCAGTGCTTAGGCGTGAGCCCAGCTCATCCCCCTGTGCTCAGCAGATGGGCTTTCTGCGTGCTTTATTTCTGTGCTTGGTGCCGTCCGGCACAGCAGCAGCAAGGCCGTGAACACGTACGTACCCAGGTAGATGCAAATGTGCAACTGATGGGATTAATGCTATTGTTGTTAGTGTTCATGAGACAGTGGTCGTGCATGTGCGATCAACCTCAGGGAGAAGTTGATTGTTGCCTGTTCAGCTCTGGCTGAAATGCAAGTTTGGCGTCCCTCCTTGTGGTTGGGTCGGAAGACCAAGGATATCTTGAGAGCACGTCTGTGAGTCAGGCTGGGAGTTTTTGCTAGCAGGAAGTCACAGCGTCGGAGCGCACGATAGGAATGATGGCTCTCGTTTCCCCCTTGTAGAAAGCAGCCTCCTGGAGAGCAGCAGAGCAGCAGGCTGTCTGCGCTATGGCCGCTGAAGTGCATTTCTCGGCCCCTGAGATCCCTGAGCCCACGCTGATGGAGAACGTGCTGCGCTGCGGCCTCTTCTTTGGAGCCGTTTTCCAGCTTCTGTGCGTGTTGGCCATAATGCTGCCAGTTTCCAAGTGCCCAGAGACAGTAAGTAGCGCTCTGTTTGATAGAGGTTGATAGAAATGCTGAGGAAATGGGCTGGGAGGGAAGCAGCTGGAGCCGTTGCCTACGGTAGCGCGCCGCGGCATTGCTGAGAATGTGGCAGTTTGTTCTGCCCTTCCTTGGGCGTGCGTGCTGTTCCTGGTGGCACGCAGGGAGCCTGGAGGTGCAAGCTCATCTTATCGTCCTGCTGCTGCTGCTTCTGTGGGCTGTGAGTGGCAGGCAGGGCGTCCCCCTGTGCAGGGACTGCCTTGCAGGAAAGGCCTGTAGACTGTAGGTTACGTGGGTTTTTTGGGAACAAGAGAGAGGTGGAGTTTCTGTTGTGCCCTGATGTCAGGAAGGCAATTTGCAGCACTGGCACCCAAAGCTGCCCAGTCAGGTGACTTGAGCTGCCAAAGCGAGCTGTCGGGCAATTGTCAGAAAGTTCCCTGACTGTTTGTGAATTGATTCCTGCAGGACTCGGACGGCTTGGAGTCTAAGACTTGGGAGACGGCGAAGAAACCAAAGGCAAGTGCTGCACAGCTAAGCAAGAAAGCCAAGAAGGAAAGCAAAAAGAAACGGTGAGGGCTTGAGCGATAAGCCTCAAAGGCCAAAGGAAGCAGCGGGAATGCTTGCTGAGAGGTGCTCCAAAGGCAGCGCACTGTACGTCTGGTTTTGTGGCGTGGCCGTGCTTTCCCTTGCACGGACATTGGAGAGGAACTGAGGAAGCTGGAGGGGCTTCTGATGCGTGACAAACAAATCGGACTTTGCCTGTGCGGGATTTCATGTCTGGCAAGAGCTGGGGACGCTGCGTTCCTTCAGGGTCCTTCAGCTCGATAGCTGTTTCAGAATGTTGATGATGAGGTGAACATAGCGCATGTCGCTGGTCATGAGCGGTATCCAGGCTATTTTATTTTCTGTTGACGTATCTACAAAACGCAACCCAAATCCCTTAGTTTCAAATAAAAGGGAAACAAACCTTTGACACCTGGTGCTGCCTCTTTCAGTAGCTGGTCCAAACATGCCTGGCTTGGGCTGGCAGCGGCAGGGCGCTGAACCGGCCGGCTTCACGTCCCTCCCTGGAGATGGAGCTGCTTTTCCCGCGTTTGCATGTTGGTCTTCCCAAGCGGTGGCCTTTCAGCCAAAGCGTAACTGCCAGCGAAGCCTGTGAGCATCACCTTGCTCTGTGAGGACTGCGAGAAAGAAAAGGAGGGGAGGCAGCGCACGAGGAAGAAAGGTGTCCCTGCACTCAGCCCCTTGAGCTCGTCACTCAAGCTTCCCTGGTGGCTTTTTCAGCCTTCTGTAGCACTGACTGTTCCTGCTTGGCCTGGGAAGGCCAGCTGCACCTGCGGGCAGCCGAGGGCTGCACGTCAGGCTCCCGTTGAGCCGCGAGGAGTTCAAGTGCGGGTGGGCTGGTGTGAAGAGCAGCGCTGGGAGTGGGGCAGGAGGAGAGGGCAGCGGGAGGGCTGCAGGTGAGCGCGCCTGGGGCCCAGAGCTCAGGCGTGAGCCGGGAGGGCAGCGAGCCGTGCTGCGCTGCTTCAGCTGCAATGGCTTTGAGGGAGAGGAGAGGAGAGGAGAGGAGAGGAGAGGAGAGGAGAGGAGAGGAGAGGAGAGGAGAGGAGAGGAGAGGAGAGGAGAGGAGAGGAGAGGAGAGGAGAGGAGAGGAGAGGAGAGGAGAGGAGAGGAGAGGAGAGGAGAGGAGAGGAGAGGAGAGGAGAGGAGAGGAGAGGAGAGGAGAGGAGAGGAGAGGAGAGGAGAGGAGAGGAGAGGAGAGGAGAGGAGAGGAGAGGAGAGGAGAGGAGAGGAGAGGAGAGGAGAGGAGAGGAGAGGCTGCACATGAAGAGTGTCTGCCTGCCATTTTGGATTGGCGCGTCGGTGTCTTCCTCCTTCCATGAAGGAGCCTGCACAGTGCACTGGGTGCAGCGTGCTACATGGCACTGCCTTCTGCTGCCTGCCTGCCTGCCCGCCTGCCTGCTGCACTGCTGGAGAGGAAAGAGCGGGTTGTGGGGCTGCGTGCAGGCAAGGAGCTGGCTGCAAAGGAGGGAAACGGAGTATTTAGGAGCGGTTAGTGCGTGTTAGGTTTGGGTGTGGATGCAGCGGGGGCTGAGTCACCTCCATCAGCTCCTGGGGGCTGGGGCCGAGCCCGGTGCGTGGGGCTGCGGGGCTGGGGCAGTGGTGTGGGTGCAGCACATGGGGCCGTGAGAGGGCGTGCAGCAGGGAGGGCGTTGGGCCCGAGCCGCGCTCGTGTTTGTCGCAGCACAGGGGCTGCAGGGGATGCCAGGAGTGCAGAGCAGAGCGGGGAGAGGCGGGCTGTATGAAGGCCAGGGCATGAAGTCTTCCCTTGGCAGCTCCGGAGCTGCTGGGCTTTTCCCCCAAGTCTTCAGACTGTGGGGTGATAAGGCTCCGCAGCAAAGGCAGCCGGGCCCTCCTGATACTTGGGGGTTAGGAAAGGGCAAAACAAATCAGAGTCTTTCAAGAGCACAAAGCAGTGAAGCACAGCACAAGCCATTTACTGTCTGCGTAGGTGATCTTCTCCAGGCATGTCCATTGGAGATGTGCAGACTGAGTGTGGACAGAAAGCAAATGGAAGGCAGGGCAGGGGAGGGGAGGGGAGGGGAAGAAAGTAAGAAATGAAAGGAAAGAAAAAGGGAAATGTGGAGGGGAAGAGAGAAGGAGAAAAGGAAAGGAAGAGAAAAGAGAAGCAAGGCAAAGGAAAGCAAAAGGGGGAAAAGGGAAAAGGCAGAAAAGGAGAAGAAGCCAAGTTGCATGCCGCCGGCGCCACCCGAGGGGAATCCGGCAGCGGGCCCCCCAGCTGCCCCTCCCCCTCCTCCAGGCCCCGGGCCGCCCTCAGCAACGTGACGCCGCAGGCGGTTGGTAGGGCCGGGGCAGGAAGTGGTTCCTGGCGGCGGAGAGCACTTCCGGGGCAGCGCGGCATGGCGGCGCCGGGCCGGTGAGCGGGGCCGGGAGGAGCGGGCTGTGTGCTGGGAACGGGGTCGGGGCTCGGTGCGGGGGCATGGAGGGGCGCTCGGGGGAGGAGCTGGCGGTGCTGCCGGCACGCAGAGGCGATGCGTGCGGCGCCGCCGAGTGCTGCGGGGTCGGGGGGCAGCTTCCTCTCAGGGAAGGCCGTGCGTGTGCGGAGCTTTGTTGGTGTTTCGGGTGTGCGAAGGAGGAGGCCCCGTAGGGCCGAGTTGTAGCCAGCAAAGCCCGGGCGGGCAGTGGAGCAAGGCGCGTGGGTGCTGTGTTGGCCGGAGGGTGCGGAGCTGGAAGAAGGTTTGTGAAGATGTGCTTCCTGTGGACGTCCCTTGTCAGGACGAGCCAGGGCTGCAGTTGTGTGTGACTGTGCTTGTTGCTCGGGAGAACTGCTGCCTTAGTAGGCTGGGGGGGAGGGAGAGGGAGATTTTAAGACTGCCATCAGTCAGGAGCACGGCACGTTTCTGCCTGCTTTGCTCATGCTGTTGTGTGGGTCCCCGCGAAGCATCGGTGAGCCAGGGTGGCCCCGTGTGTGTGGCAGCATTGTGCGCGGATGTGGAAAGGAGTCAGAGTGATTGTAATGAAAATGCAGCTGGCCGTATTGATGGTAGGGAATGGTTGAATCCCCAGCCGTGAGGCGCAAGAAGAGGCGGTGGATGCTAACGTGGAAAGCGGAGCTTGTGTGTGCCAGGAGGCAGGCGTGGCGAGGTGTGCTTTGGAGCCTGCTGTTGTTGGCGCTGGGCTGGGGAGGCCCCTGAACATGGCGCCGTGTGCTGCGTGTCCCAGCCCCAACAGATTCCCGTGTGGAAGAAGGGAGAGGATGAAGGAGGCCGAGGGCCCTTTTCTCGGGGCCGGCTCCTCTGTGGCCTCTTGCTTGCCGGAGAGAAGGGCTGCCCGCTGGGCACAGGGAGTGCCTTCTAGCTGCCGTCCCGTGCCCTGTCCTCCAGCCCCCTCCTCATGCTATGTGGAACGCCATTGCCAGCAGTGCGGCTGCCATTTTAGAACCTTCGCCGCATCACAGCCGTCACCTTGGTCACCGCTGTCCGGGCCAACGCACTCGCTCTGAGAGCTCTGGCAGCCATGCCAGGAGCGAAGAGAGCGAGGGGCGAAGTTTGCCCTCTTTTAAATGGGAAGAGGGAGCTTGGCTTCCCAGAAGCGAAGAGGAGGAGGGGGGCCGCCTTTAAGATCAAGCGGAGGAGGGGGCAGAGAGTGCGTTTGCATCGCGCCTGGGCCAGCGCTGTGACCACCTCCGTGGAGCCCATGGAGGTGGATCCACCTCCGGATGAGCCCATGGAGGTGGATCCACCTCCCGATGAGCCCATGGAGGTGGATCCGCCTGCGGCACAGCTGGCCTGGCACCACACCACCGTGCCAGGCCCCGCATCGGCGCCGTCACAGCTCCACCGCCGCTGGTCCAGGCGCTCGGCTCCCTACCCGCTGCGCGGCCCCCGCCCCCAGCATTAGCTGGGTGGCATTAGTTTCCATCAGCTCCTCCTCCGAGCCTCCTGTGGAGCCAAGTTCTCCTCTTCCCATTTAAATGCTGCAGGTGTTATAGTTTAGTTGTTGTTTTTGTTGTTGATTTTAGTGTTTAGTGTTAGTGTTAGGAGTAGATTATTGTTCGTATTTTAGAGTTAGGCGTAGGTCACTTGTAGTCTTTTAGTGTTAGGCATAGGTTCCTGTTCTTATGTTAGAGTTAGGTGTAGGTTACTTGTAGTCTTTTAGTGTTAGGCATAGGTTCCTGTTCATACTTGACAGTTAGGGGTAGCTTGCTCCTGTCAAGTGGAAGTGAGCATCGCTCACTCGGTAAGCACACGCCTGATTGATCGTCCGAAGACATGAGTGCGAGTGCCGTGAGCACGGAGGCCCGATGGCATCTTGGATGGCTTGAATTTCCAGCTTGTGACTTTTGTGTTGCAGACCGTCGAGGAGCAGAGTGTGAGTGGCTGCGCCATTGCGTTGGGCCTCAGGAGAACAGTGTGTGACTGTGTCTCGAGCATCCTGCGTGGCCGTTGCCAGGTAGGCGTGCCTTCCTTTGCAGTAAGCAGTGCTTAGGCGTGAGCCCAGCTCATCCCCCTGTGCTCAGCAGATGGGCTTTCTGCGTGCTTTATTTCTGTGCTTGGTGCCGTCCGGCACAGCAGCAGCAAGGCCGTGAACACGTACGTACCCAGGTAGATGCAAATGTGCAACTGATGGGATTAATGCTATTGTTGTTAGTGTTCATGAGACAGTGGTCGTGCATGTGCGATCAACCTCAGGGAGAAGTTGATTGTTGCCTGTTCAGCTCTGGCTGAAATGCAAGTTTGGCGTCCCTCCTTGTGGTTGGGTCGGAAGACCAAGGATATCTTGAGAGCACGTCTGTGAGTCAGGCTGGGAGTTTTTGCTAGCAGGAAGTCACAGCGTCGGAGCGCACGATAGGAATGATGGCTCTCGTTTCCCCCTTGTAGAAAGCAGCCTCCTGGAGAGCAGCAGAGCAGCAGGCTGTCTGCGCTATGGCCGCTGAAGTGCATTTCTCGGCCCCTGAGATCCCTGAGCCCACGCTGATGGAGAACGTGCTGCGCTGCGGCCTCTTCTTTGGAGCCGTTTTCCAGCTTCTGTGCGTGTTGGCCATAATGCTGCCAGTTTCCAAGTGCCCAGAGACAGTAAGTAGCGCTCTGTTTGATAGAGGTTGATAGAAATGCTGAGGAAATGGGCTGGGAGGGAAGCAGCTGGAGCCGTTGCCTACGGTAGCGCGCCGCGGCATTGCTGAGAATGTGGCAGTTTGTTCTGCCCTTCCTTGGGCGTGCGTGCTGTTCCTGGTGGCACGCAGGGAGCCTGGAGGTGCAAGCTCATCTTATCGTCCTGCTGCTGCTGCTTCTGTGGGCTGTGAGTGGCAGGCAGGGCGTCCCCCTGTGCAGGGACTGCCTTGCAGGAAAGGCCTGTAGACTGTAGGTTACGTGGGTTTTTTGGGAACAAGAGAGAGGTGGAGTTTCTGTTGTGCCCTGATGTCAGGAAGGCAATTTGCAGCACTGGCACCCAAAGCTGCCCAGTCAGGTGACTTGAGCTGCCAAAGCGAGCTGTCGGGCAATTGTCAGAAAGTTCCCTGACTGTTTGTGAATTGATTCCTGCAGGACTCGGACGGCTTGGAGTCTAAGACTTGGGAGACGGCGAAGAAACCAAAGGCAAGTGCTGCACAGCTAAGCAAGAAAGCCAAGAAGGAAAGCAAAAAGAAACGGTGAGGGCTTGAGCGATAAGCCTCAAAGGCCAAAGGAAGCAGCGGGAATGCTTGCTGAGAGGTGCTCCAAAGGCAGCGCACTGTACGTCTGGTTTTGTGGCGTGGCCGTGCTTTCCCTTGCACGGACATTGGAGAGGAACTGAGGAAGCTGGAGGGGCTTCTGATGCGTGACAAACAAATCGGACTTTGCCTGTGCGGGATTTCATGTCTGGCAAGAGCTGGGGACGCTGCGTTCCTTCAGGGTCCTTCAGCTCGATAGCTGTTTCAGAATGTTGATGATGAGGTGAACATAGCGCATGTCGCTGGTCATGAGCGGTATCCAGGCTATTTTATTTTCTGTTGACGTATCTACAAAACGCAACCCAAATCCCTTAGTTTCAAATAAAAGGGAAACAAACCTTTGACACCTGGTGCTGCCTCTTTCAGTAGCTGGTCCAAACATGCCTGGCTTGGGCTGGCAGCGGCAGGGCGCTGAACCGGCCGGCTTCACGTCCCTCCCTGGAGATGGAGCTGCTTTTCCCGCGTTTGCATGTTGGTCTTCCCAAGCGGTGGCCTTTCAGCCAAAGCGTAACTGCCAGCGAAGCCTGTGAGCATCACCTTGCTCTGTGAGGACTGCGAGAAAGAAAAGGAGGGGAGGCAGCGCACGAGGAAGAAAGGTGTCCCTGCACTCAGCCCCTTGAGCTCGTCACTCAAGCTTCCCTGGTGGCTTTTTCAGCCTTCTGTAGCACTGACTGTTCCTGCTTGGCCTGGGAAGGCCAGCTGCACCTGCGGGCAGCCGAGGGCTGCACGTCAGGCTCCCGTTGAGCCGCGAGGAGTTCAAGTGCGGGTGGGCTGGTGTGAAGAGCAGCGCTGGGAGTGGGGCAGGAGGAGAGGGCAAGGGTTGGAAGGGACCTCCATATCTCATCGAGTCCAACCCCCTGCCAAAGCAGGTTCCCTACACCAGATCTCACAGGTCGGTGTCCAGGCAGGTCTTGAACATCTCCAGAGAAGGAGACTCCCCCACCTCCCTGGGCAGCCTGTTCCAGTGCTCCGTCACCTCACTGTACAGAAGTTCCTTCGCACATTGGTGCAGAACTTCCTATGCTGCAGTTTCTGTCCGTTTCCCCTCGTCCTGTCTCCACTCAACACTGAAAACAGTCTGGCCTCGCCATTCTGCCCCCCACACCTTAGATATTTTTAGACCTGGATCAGGTCCCCTCTCAGTCTTCTTTTCTCAAGACTGAGCAGACCCAGACTTCTTTCGGTTTGTGTATTTATTTTTTGTGTAATTTTTTGAATATTTTTTTCTGTATCTTATGTATTCTTATATTTTCCACTTAAATGCTATTTTCCACATCAATTGCTACTCAGTTTGTACATATGCAGTGTAGCCCAGATATAGTGTACATAAGGAACCAAGCTCTCAGTGAATCTTAACAAAACAAAGAGCATGCAATGACTTTGTCTGTCTTCCTTCCTGAAACACATTTCTGGAGCTGCCAGGGTCAGTTGTTCTCACAAACCCACAATCCAGCAGGAAGCACACGGCTGTTAATCCAACTGTGTGGTGACTTCAGCCTGCAATAGCTGACTGGCCGTCTCTTGGCTCCTGGCTGGGGTCTGTGCTGGCAGGCTCACATCTGTCAGTGCCTCTGACAGGCCAGCAGCAGCTGGTTTGCACGTTGGTTCTGAGATCCCCTCTTCCTCAGTCTCTATGAGACTTTGCATAGGAAAAGTTCCTGGATATGGGTTCTCATCTCAGAGGTTTAAACATTTCCCTGAAAATTTCTTTCCATTTGCCTCACAGAGGTAGGTGGGCACTGCCTTCAGGATGCCCTAGGGTAGCTGACGTATGCATGAGAGTACAGGAAAGGTTTCCCAGGACTCTCAGGAGACATTCTGGAGCATGAATTTGCAGGTAGGTCCTCCTGCAGAGCTTGGTGTCCTTCTCCTTCCTGAGTAAGGTGCCACTTCCATCTCAGGAATGGAACAGCCAACAGAGGTGAGACAGAAACTCTTCAAGAAAAGGCTCAGTGTTGCACTCGGACAGAATTCAGTGGTGTGGTGGTGTGTTGAGCTGAAACTCAACCCCATTGCCCCTTAGCCTTGCAGCTCCTGTGGCTTGGTGACAGTGCTGCTGTGTGGCTGCAAACACAAGCAAGGACATGCAGTGGGCACTTCTGTCACACAGATTGTTTCCACCACAGCAAGTCTGTCGCTAATGGAGATCTCATGGCGGTGCCTGAAGGCTCAGGGCCTCTTTGAAAGTTGCTGCCAAGAACATTCCCAAGGAATGGACTGCACAGATTCCCACACTTACTCTCCTACTCATGTTAAAACCAAGCTTTGTTGATAACATTCAAAGATTGTATTTAAGGCTTGCCCAAACTGCAGCCCACATCAAAACACTAATCCATAATGCTTGTCCATACCCTAACAGTGTCCTGAAAACCTTAGCAGAACACCAAGCCCTCTCACTGAACCTTTGCTTAATCACTGCCCCAAAAGGTGAGTTCTAACCCTTAATTCCTATCCTGAACTCCCAACACCCATAGAGCCTGCTCCTGTGCTCTGCCCTCCTCACCTTCAACCCCTTCCCTAACCCTAAACTTTGAGTACTTGGCTGTCCTGAGCAGAGCAGGAATCGTGGAGTCTTTGAGCAAATGCGTGCAATGCAGTGATGAATGTGAGGTGATGTATGTACAGGAAGTGATGTGACTGATCAGCCTGAGGCCATCAGGAGGAGGTGGGTAGGAATGCTGCCATGAGCTCAGCTCTACCTCAGGATCTCTACCTCAGGATGTTAGGCCCTGGAACGGGCTGCCCAGGGAGGTTGTGGATGCCCCGTCCTTGGACGTGTTCAAGGCCAGGTTGGACGGGGTCCTGGGCAACCTGATCTGAATGTGTATGTTTGGTGGCCCTGCTAGGCAGGGGGGTTGGAACTACATGATCCTTGAGGTCCCTTCCAACCCGGGTGATTCTGTGATTCTGTGATCTCCTGGGCCTGCAGGTGGCTCGAGGCTGTGAAGGTGGCTGTGAGATCACTTCTGTGTGTGGAGTTGACAGGCCAGCCCCAGAAAAGCATTTCATGCCTGAAGCAGCTGTTGGTCAGCCCTTGGCTCCTGGCTGGGATCTGTGCATACAGGATCACATCTGCAGTGTCCCTGAGAGGCTGACAGAAAGTGCCAGGTTGACGTGTTGCCTGTGGGATCCTCTGTGCCTGAGCACCTGGTAGGGCCATAGAGCAAGAAGGAGGTTTGTGTGAGGGATTGTGATGGCTCTTCTGTGTGAGTTCACAACTCAATAGCAGGAGGGACATGACTTGGTTGTGTCTACCTGGAAACTGGCAGGTGCCTTGGAAGATGATGGTGAGGTTCTGTCACAGAGTTATCTAGGTCAGTCTATGCCCGTGACAGGGGGCAGTAGGCCCCTGGCCCCCCTCCAAGCCCCACAAAATGGGAAGGGTGAAGGAAGAGAGATAGGAAGATGGGAGCTGGGCTCAAGGAAGGAAAAAAGCAAAAACAGCAGCAATGATCTATGGAGGAAAACTTATTTTACTATGATATTGGAATGCAAGATAACACAGTATCATATAATCTAATTGAAACTGAGACTAATAAACCAGGTAAGATAGGAGAGAGAGAGAGTTCCTGAGTGAGTCAAACCTGAAAAGCTTGGAAGGGCTGGGAAAGCACCTCCAGCACCCACTGCCAGGCAGCAAGAGAGCGCCCCATCCAAAGGGCCAGGTGCCATGACCTCAGTAATGTACAGGGACAGGTACCTGGAACTGCAGCATGAACACTTTAACTCCCAGTGCACTGCTTGATGTTATGGTGTGGAATGCTGAAAACCAAAAACACAGAACCATGACATTGGAGTTACCTCTCTTTATTCCAAGTTTAATCGCACTTTACTCCAGGCCTACTCACACTTTACTCAAGTATCTCTGACTCACGCTTTGCTCAAGAGTTACTCAAACTTTTCCTTAAATTTACCCACACTTGACTCTGGGTTTACTCACACTTTTCTCTGGGTTTTACTGACACCCTACTCTGGCTGTGTACACCCTCTGTTCCAGGCCTACCCACACTTTACTCTGGGTTTTTCTCACACTTTATTCTGAGTTCACTCACATTTAATCCTGATTTATTCAGAGTATTCTCCGGGTTTTATACACAATTTTCCCCAGGTTTGCACACTCTTTACTATGGGTTTACTTTTCCTCTACTCTGGGTGGACTCACACCTTACACTGGCTTTTACTCACACTTTACTCCATGTTTACTAACACTTTAGTCTGGGTTTTCTCACACTTGACTTGGGCTTACCTCACTCTTTACTCCAAGTTTACTTGCACTTTACTCCGAGTTTACTCACACTTCTTTTTTGAGTGCGTTGTACTCACACTTTACTCAAGATTTACTCAAACTTTTCCTCAACATTACTCATGCTTGACTCTGGTTTTACTCACACTTTTCTCCAGGTTTTACTGACACCCTACTCCAGGTGTGTACGCTCTCTCTTCTGGGCCTACGCACACTTGACTCCAGATGTTTCTCACACTTTGCTCTGAGTTTATTCACACTTTACTCTAGGTTTACTCACAGTTTTCTCTGGGTTTTACTCACACTTTCTAGCAGGTTTGCACACTCTTTACTCTGGATTTACTCTTCCTCTACTGTTCTTTCTGCATTTGATATTAAAAAGAGCAATTGGTTTGAAGAAGTAGAACACAATGCATTCGTATTCTGTAACATCCTTAGAAATAGTTGATACAAGAAGTAAAATACTGTATATGTGAGCAGCGTGTTTTAGAAGCATTGTTACTGAATTATGTTTTATATGTTAATTCTTTCTTGTGAAACTGTAGTAGTTGTTAAATGTTCCAAACAATGTGTGTATAGTATTAGGGATTAGAAAACATCTTGTAGAGTTGTTCTGTTAGGATAAGAAACTCCCTACAAAAGAAAAACAGATTTAACAAACATCAAAGAAGCCAGGGCCTCTACACAAGGCTGAACTGTCTGATTCCGTGAGAAGTTTGGGATGTGATGAGCAGGCACCAAGATCCTCCCCTCTGTTCTTCTCCCAAGCTTGTCTTTGTGGAAGGGAAGACAAGAAGGTATCTGCAAAAGAAGTCTCAAGTGTGGAATAAGTCCATTAATTAATTACAGATCTATGCTTAGGCTGCAAAGATTCATGTTTGTCCAGTGTCTGCATGTTTAGTGAAGCGTCGAGAAGATTGTGAACCTAAAGCACTCAGCTAATGAGGATCTAGGGGAGAAAGAGATCAGCATCGGGGAATACGGAATAAAAGATGTAATTCTGTTTTTCTGGGGTGCTCTCTTGCTTGCAGGAGGCCCTCCACTGCAATTGTGAATAAAATCGGCTTCATCAGAGATACCGTCCTAGAAAATTATTTGG